CCCGCCTCAGCCTCCCAAAGTGCTGGGATTACAGGCGTGAGCGACTGCGCCTGGCCAATAACAGAATACTTTCAACAAATCTATGCCTGCAATTTTTAAGTGCAGCAGTGAAAGTATATTAAAAAGCTTTAGAGTAGGAATGATAGGAAGCACAGTACCGTTGGAAGAGAACCAAGTAGGCAACTGGTGAGATTCAAATGTCTATGCCCACAAATTTCCTAGCTCAAATGAAATGGACAAATGCCTTCAAAAAGAGAAACTACCATAACCACCCAAAGAAGAGATAGACAATCTGAGTAGGCTTCTATCCATTATCGAATTTGATCAGTAAGTAATAACTTAAAAAAAAAAAAGCCCATATAATTATACTGGTGAATTCTACCTAACAATTACAATGGAAAACATAGTCTTACCAGCAAGTGATCAAAATTCTACATATTTACCCAGCTAAATTTAAAAATTATGTTTGTCTTAAAATCTGCACAAGAATGTAGGCAGCTTTATTCATAATTGCCCACACTGGAAGCAGCTGAGATGGTCTTCAGGAGGTGACAGAACCAGCTAACACTGTTTGATGACACCAATGGGCTATTGTTCACTGCTAAGAATTACTAAGCTGTTAAATTTCAAAATGATATAAAAGATCTTACATGTATATTGCTAAGTAAAATAAGTTAGTCATAAGTAGCTACATAGCCTATGATTCCAACTCTATAAAATTCTGGAAAAGGAAACCTATAGAGGCAGTAAAATCATCTATGGTTGTCAGGAATCCTCAGAAAAGAAGAAAGGAAGTAGTATGTGCAGCTCAGGTCATGTTTAGGGTGTGAAATTATTCCATCAGGGTGACAAACAACAATGTGAGTTTGTCAAAATCCGTAGACTGGACAACACAGAGTGAACCTTATGCTAACCCTGGACTTCTGTTCATAAGAATGTGTCAGTATTGGCTCAGTCATTGATGCTAACCCCGGACATCTGTTCATAAGAACATATCACTATTGGCTCAGTCATTGATGCTAACCCCAGACTTCTGATCATAAGAACATTATCACTATTGGCTCAGTCATTGATGTTAACCCTGGACTTCTGTTCATAAGAATGTGTCACTATTGGCTCAGTCATTGATGCTAACCCCGGACTTCTGTTCATAAGAATCTATCACTATTGGCTCAGTCATTGATGCTAACCCTGGACTTCTGTTCATAAGAATCTATCACTATTGGTTCAGTCATTGATGCTAACCCTGGACTTCTGTTCATAAGAATGTGTTACTATTGGCTCAGCCATTGATGCTAACCCTAGACTTCTGTTCATAAGAATCTATCACTATTGGATCAGTCATTGATGCTAACCCTAGACTTCTGTTAACAAGAATGTGTCACTATTGGCTCAATCACTGATGCTAACCCTTGACTTCTGTTCATAAGAATCTATCACTATTGGCTCAGTCACTGATGCTAACCCTGGGCTTCTGTTGATAAGAATCTATCACTATTGGCTCAGCCATTGATGCTAACCCTAGACTTCTGTTCATAAGAATCTATTACTATTGGCTCAGCCATTGATGCTAACCCTGGACTTCTGTTCATAAGAATCTATCACTATTGGCTCAGTCATTGATGCTAGCCCTAGACTTCTGCTCATAGAATGTGTTACTATTGGCTCAGTCATTGATGCTAACCCTAGACTTCTGTTCATAAGAATGTGTCTCTATTGGCTCAGCCATTGATGTTAACCCTAGACTTCTGTTCATAAGAATCTATCACTATTGGCTCAGTCATTGATGCTAACCCTGGACTTCTGTTAACAAGAATGTGTCACTATTGTATCAGTCACTGATGCTAACCCTGGACTTCT